TCGATGGGTTCCCACTCTATTGTAGTAATGAAAAAGGTTGTTAAAACCTACCAAGGTTTCGAGGGTTTGAGTTGTCTAGTCGATGTCGGAGGTGGCACCGGTTCCGCTCTATGTACTATCGTTTCCAACTACCCATCTATTCACGGCATCAACTTCGATTTGCCCCACGTCATCAAAACGGCGCCGTCGTACACCTGTAAAATTTTATTTTTTTCTCTCTCTCTCTTCTTTCTTGTTCTTATTGAAATTCCCATTAATTTTTAATTTTTTTCTTGGGGAAGCCATTGAGCATATTGGTGGAGATATGTTTCTCGAAGTACCGAAAGGAGATGCCATTTTGTTAAAGGTACAACATATTTTTTTTTAGACGTAACGATTTTGTTATATATTTATATATATGACTGGGTGATTTTGCACTGTATATCTATACAAAGTTTATACTGCACAATTGGGGTGACGAGGCATGCGAAAATCTGTTGAAGTGTTGCTACAAATCACTGCCAAACAAAGGGAAGTTGATCGTGATGGATTATATAATGCCACACACGCCTCAAACCGATATTCATGCAATGTACGCCTCTCAAATGGACCTTGGGATGACGACTATGCTTGCAGGAAAAGAAAGGACAAGAGACGAGTTTGAAGTCCTTGCAATGAAAGCCGGTTTTGCGGGGTTTAAGGTTGTCTGCTACGTTTATGGGATGTGGATTATGGAGTTCATTAAGTCGGCTTAAGCACCCGTATTTCATCGAACGATTCCTTATAAAGTAGTCGCTCAAAATTTGAACTCATTCCACAGTGGACGAGTCTCTCGGACTAAGTTTAAATTCTTTTGAACGACTAGCTACTCTAGCTACATGTACCTCTATAATTTTTTTTTTTTAAATGTTCGTGGTTGGAATAAATGATTTTTCTTTAAATACCAAGTGTTATGAAAATTGATAGTTGATGCTTAATTTGATTATTCACCACTAGAACAGATGCAACAACCTATTCATCTTCAAATTTTGTCAACACATTCGAACATGGCAAAAATTTTGTAAAATAATGTTAGCTTTAATGTTTTACACCAACGTAACCATAGCAGAAGTTAGTTAATGGGGTAGATATATAGGATCACAATAATCAGCATAAATTCAGTAGGTTTTCCGCATCCCACATGAAAGTTGTCGAGATCGCGGCCAACTTACTACACGATAATGTATTAAGTGACTCGTCGGCCGGTTGTCGCTATTATAATTACTTACCTTCAATGATAGAATGGAAGAACATGTATGTATGTATGTATGTATGTATGTATGTATGTATGTATGTATGTATGTATGTATGTATGTATGTATGTTATATATGTATATACTTGAGTTTAGTGGATATGTATGTATGTATGTATGTTATATATGTATATACTTGAGTTTAGTCTCTAAAGTATAATCAATTTATGGGTAAATTAAGAAAATCCCCGAATTAAGAAAACTACTCTCAGGGGGG